GACCCTGAATTCATGTATTTTTGTTAATGATATTTAATTTAATGTACTTAAATATATAATATTTTATTATTTACATACGTGTCAGCTTATTGTTGAGGGCATTTCTCATATGAATATATTGGACATTTGATGTCTTGTGTACTGATAACAATTTTATCCATTGTCTTTAATGACTTCCTTTGTCCTTCTTTGGATGTTGTCTCCACGTAGTTTTTCTACCATAATAAAATGTTGTTAATGTTGTATGAAAATATATCAAACAATGTGGGTTGTTCAAATTTTATTAACTTACCAATATTTTTGCATCCTCAAAAAACTTGTCCATAATTCCACTTTGTGGTTTCAAAGAGTTGTAGTAGATCCATTCCCCTACTTCTGTATCTAGTACAAGCTAAGTCCAATGGAATGGCATGGGCTGGGTGCGCCGTGCATCGGAATTCATTGGAAACACTAGTAATGGCCACACTTGACCCATTTCAGATTGTTGTCTATCTCAAATTGGCGAGAGTGTTGTTGTTGCTTAACCATCACATAGGTAAACATGTTTATCAATAGTAATGCACAAATTTTAGATTATGAACAATGGCAATATAAAACAGTGTCACAACTGTTATTTTATATAATAACATTCAGGTTACTATATTAACACAAATACAACAGTGTTACTATAATTCCATTCATAGTAACACGAATGTTACTGTATGTGTGTTACTATACTCATATTACTAATCAAATACTCCAGCAAATAAGAATTCAACATATGTTATACAAACTCACTCAGCACAGACTGTTGAAAAAGAAACATTTGCAATTTGTGTCCTCCATTAGTATTTCTCCCCAACAATCAATCACCTGAGTAATAACACGACTTTGTTAAATAACAAATATTCAAATATTCCATAATTTGTTTAAATTGTCAAGACGCATGGTACATTGCATTGTTGTGCAGCTCTTCTCCATCCATGATCTTCAACACATCATCAACATCAATGATATTTCCATACTTTTTTTCCACTCCATAAGGTTTCCCTTTTAATTAAAAACAATACATGTTAATAAAATTGGGTATAAAAAGTAAAATATATAAGGTGTTTCATAATGGGGCATTAAGTTACTTACTTTTTTCCCTCAGCCTTATGCATTTGAACCAATTTTTCGTACACATCCGGTCCTAATTTCTTTCAGGCTTTCTATCTTCGAGCTTCAACTTTCTTACTTTCTGACTTCGCACTGGGTATTATAATATCAAAATCATCAACATCAACGCAACTATCTGGTATCTTCTCATCCCCTTGAATTTTTTCTACTTGTTCCTCGATTTCAACTTGTTTCAATTTTTTTTTCTCCCTGTTTTTTCTTACTATACTCATAATCTTCATCTCTCTTTCTTTTTCTATCCTTCCTTTTGATTTTTTTCACCATCGATGTTTGTTCTGCACCTTCAGTGGACTGAGGTTTTGGTGGAGTATGTGGGTACCTTTGAGTAACGGCATGCACAACCATATCAGCTACAACACCATGCAGGGAATTGTTCTATTCTTCTAATTCGGACACCCTTGATTTCAGAATTTTAATTTGATCTTCTTGTGTTTCTTTGTTTTTCTCCAAGAGATCAACTAAAACTTTCAATTCTGCAATTTAGTTGTCCCTGTCAACTAGTTTCATTGCATATTTTTTAATCTCTTTCAAATCTTCCTCCCTTTGGTTACTCCCAATATTCTTGATGATTGTTTGAAGTGCTTCGTTCTCCACAGTCAGCATTTGGATACTAAATTTTTGCACCTCATTTTCAACAATCAATCCAGACGAACTTTCATTGTCATGGGAAGGTTGTTGTGACTTTTCCTCTCGTGTTACCACTTCATCTAGTTCCATAAATGCAGATTCTCGAATGACCATATCAACAAACGCATCAAACGGTTGGACGTTTTGAGTCTCCTTTAGGACAGGATGAACATATATTGCATCATTACTTTCATGAACATCTTCATTAACCAAAATATGATCATCAGTAGCTAGATTAGGTGCATCACCTGCGTATTCCAATTCTGAATTTAAAGCAATTTTGCTGACAACAATGCTTTGTTGTGGAACCTCTAAACTTTCTTGGAATTTTTCCAAATTGCTTTCATTAAGTTCTTTTCACCAAGTGCTTTCTTAAGTTTCCTTCGGAAAACCTGACAACATGATTAGTATCGTGAAAAATATGTACCCAATAAATGCTCACCTCATTTGAATCAAATGACTATGAATTACACAGTAACATTAATTGCACTGTATCATTCACAGTAACATCCAGGTTTTCTTCTAGTAACATCTACATTAATAACAATTTTTTATATTAACATTGATCACTAAATTAACATTGTCATGCAATTAACCAATTGTCAAAACTAATTGAAATACAATAAATCAAATTTTTTATAATACCTAATCATCTGCGATGTCGAACAGTGTGTTTTGTGCGAGAGACATCCAAAGTTTTCTTAAATCCCATTTCATCCAACGTGGGAAAGCATCTACCTCGTCGGCCACAACAAGAGATGTGTGTTCACATATCCAATACTGCAAATTAGATTTAGTTACATTAGTTAGAACACATAATGTTTAATGATTATAAAAAATAATTCATAAAAATTAGCAATAAAAAACTTACAGGTAACAATAGTACACAACAAGTTACTACACTCGGTGTCTTAATCTTCAATCATATAGAATTAATCATTGCATCAATTGTTGCTTGACACCAGTCATATCTTTTGATTTCATCTAAATTTTCAATGTATGAGACATGCTCCCATCCAATTGTTTGCCCCATACTTGTAATCAGTAATGTCACTAAGACATATAAAGAGAATAACCTAGCAAAGTCTTCACAATCTTCCTTACCATCACCCATTGCAGCATCCTCCAACCTATTTTTTATAATTGGTGCATTCAATCTTTGGGTGTTATTGAATCCCCTCCTTACAAAAGGTGACATTTTCTTTGCACTTTGGGGGGAAACAATTGGATCCACACCATCTTTTATACCAAAAATGAGAGATACATCAGTCTTCCGTATCTTTAAATTTTTTTCACCAATTCTAAATCTGGATGTTTCAACACCAAACGTGGTATTGATGTCCACAATACTTTTGTCATTCTTCTTGAACCATTCCTTATCAACTTCAAATGTTGATATTGTCTGATACAAATACCAAAATAGTGTTCTCCTCAACTGTTCTTCGTGAACATCTTTGATGTTTAGCTCACTAATAACCTTCACCTCCAGCAGCAAGTTGGACCTGAATTGGTGAAATGAGGATGTTTTTGGAGCCATCAACCTATAACATGACAGTGAATTATCAATATCTAAATAGAATATATTAACATGACACAAATTCACTAAACTTAATGGATATACAACAATTAACAAAAAAAAATGTGCAAATGTAATATGAATAGTAACACCAAAGTTGCTAATGTAAACACAGTAACAAGATCTTAGTAACATGATCATAATAACATTAATTTTGTAACTGAATCCCAGTGAAAAGGAAAGCAGTTGAATTGAAGATTACACAATGAAGATTGCAAGCATTTCAAATAGTAACACACAAGTAACATCAATTTTAGCTTTACCCTAGCAAATGCAAAGCTTGAGAGATCTATGATGTAACCTATACCTTTAATTCTCAAAGAAAAATCAAAGGATTATGATTACTAACACATTCACAGTAACATCAATTCACAGTAACATCTACAGTAACATCAAGGAATCTCAACCCATAACACGAATATCAAAACATTGAAATTATGAAACCTATATTGTAGTTAACCCACAATAACATGATGTATTTTCATAGCCACAAAATCAATTACTAATCGATTATCTATAACAACAAAGAAATCAACAAAATATAAATCAATCCCACTTTTAATTCATAATAATGAATCTCATTTTTAAATTTAGGAATCCAAAACAAAGAACATCAAATTTACTATAAAATCAATGGTGAAGATTTATTGTAAAATCAACGAAAATCAAATTTACTATAAAATCAATGAACATCAAAGTTATTGTAAAATCACATACCTTAACCCTTTTTCAAGAATTCTAGAGAAGTGAAGGTGTTTAGAATGCCAAGAGTTATTTGAAAATTCGCCAATGGTGTCCACAGGAAACTTGAATGATAAAACCGAATCTCTTTTGGAGGGAACTTGTTACTGTGAAGATTCGCCAATGGTGTCCAAAGTTTTGTGAAGATTTCCTGAATGCCGAGATCATCTGTAACTTTTGCCAATGAAACTTGAAGAGTAAAACCAATTTTCGGTCTTATGGTTTGAAACCAGTTTGAAATTTGAATTGATTCAGTTTGGGTGATGGCGGTTTATGGTTTTTGGAGAAGAAAAATGAGAAAGATTTGAGGAATATAGCCAGATTTATAGCCTGGAATGAAGGGGAAGTTACTGGGTTCCTAGTCGGCAACGAAAGGTTTCTCCGTCTGGTTTAGAAACGACAAGTTACATGTTGTTTGGGGTTTTCTAATAACTAAGGGTATAATAGTAAAAGTCACAAAAAGTGGACTTGAAACTAAATAAGTTTCTTTGCAGAACTTATCTCCAAACAAATTCTTCTAGGGGGACCGGCCTCCAAATTTGCCCTTTTTTTTGACCAATTTAAATTATATGTAAAGACTATATTTATTATTTAGTTCCTCTTTTTTTTGGGCCCTAAACAACAATTTAAGTGGTCTTTCTAATGCTTAAGCAACATAACAGAAACCTATAGATCCAAATTATACAAAAGACCTGTACTTTTCAAAAAAAAAAAATCATTACTGCTTAATTTCAATAATTAGGTTTTGTATTCTCTTACTAAGAATGTGCATTGCATGAGTTTTATGCTAGTATAGTATTGTTAATATTAAAAATTAAAACAATTCTAGTTATAGTATGTAATTCTTTAACTAATTGTTGTGACACTTGTGTTTTAGACAAGTGAATTAATATCTTAGCTTAGTCAGAAGGGTGAGGTGGTGGTTGCAGGTACTACTCTCAAGTGGTTGAGATTTGTCCATTTCCAAAACGGAGTTCTTGATCCACATTTTGAGGTACAAACAACACTCTTAGAGTTCCCTCTCTCTACATGTATAGATATATTCTTATTCTATGATTCAATCGAGTTTGCGTTATTGATAAGTGTCATTGGTTTGATTAGCTTTGCATCGTTAACCACGACATATAGGTGGTGAAGGAAGCTCTACTGACAACAGTCAAAGAGGCAGTGAGAGAGAAATGGAGTGAGGAGATGAATGGTGCTTGGAGTGAAGCCTATGATCAGATGGCTGCAGCCATCAAGGCTGAGATGAAGAAAATATCTGCTCAACTTTTTCAAACCCCTCTAAATTTGGTGCAAATATATTCATAACTATGCATTATGATCGTTTGAGATGATTTTTAAAATCTTGAAAAAAATGAAAAAATCCATTTGGAGTGTCTTTCTAGTTTTTTTGTGTCAAAATAAAAATATGGATTATACATAAGAATATAATAAACTAAAAAATTATGTGGGACCTGCAAAAAAACTTTAAAAAATTGGAACAAAAAAACTCAAAAAATTAGCTTGTTGNTATATATATATATATATATATATATATATATATATATATATTTTAACTTTTAAAGTTTTATATATAACTTTCATCATTTTTTATGAACTAAAATTAATTGTTGGAGTTAATTGCAAAATATTCAAACTTGAAAGAGAAAATTTGAAGGAATTAATAGCAAACTACTTAGCATTGAAGGGATTATTTTGTAATTAACCCAACCTTCTTCATTTGTTGTGTTGGCTATTTCACGGAATAACATGATCCCTCTCACAATGGTTTTTCACCAAACTGCGGTTAAGAAGAAAAACCAAATAAACTGCTTGAAGGAAGTCCAAGTCAAGGTCATGGTGGTCACCAGTCAATAGTCATAAAAATGATTCTACAATGCTTTTTGGTTGTTGAGGTCTTTCGAGGAACAAAGACTTCAATAATGCATCCAAAAATTCTTCTTAATTATGAGTTCCATTTTTATTTTTAAATGTGCTTAATGTCTCTCATTTTTTTTTTTTAGTATTAAGAACAATATTACTCATATAACTAGAGCAGGGTGACAGGTCTGTAAACCCCCACATGTTTATAGTAATAGCATAATAAGTTGTGTAGAAATTTTAATATATGTAATGGCGTAGGAATGAATCATATGGGTTATAACCGTACAAATAATGATATTGTGGAAACCCGGATAAATATATGAAATTGTTTGTAATAGAAGTTGTACCAACCCTGTTTGATGTGTAAAGGTATGTTATATAAATTTCAGATAGCCTTGGAAGGATTAGAAATGGATTAGAAATGAAAAATAGAAAAAACAGGCAGATTCAGCAAAAGCGTACCGGTACGTATACCGGTATGCCAAAGACCAGTAGCCAGACCGTACCGGTACACCTGACAGATTTCAAAAATTTTTAAGTCACGAACAGTCGGCCCTCCTTCCATTATAAATGCATAAAGACGTCCCATTTAGCCCCATTTCAACACTTCTAACCCTAAAAAACCTTAGAGAGGAAGAAAGAGAGGGAAAAACACAAGATCAAAGGGGCTTTGCACTTTGGATTGAATCAAAACCCTAGTTTTCAAGAACATAGGTAGGGGTTTCTTCCTATTCTTTTACATTGAGGTTAGGGCTTATTTATATGTATTCTCTTGACTTTAAATCTTATACATATGTTATGAAATCATCATTCCTTGGTNTTATCTCCAAACAAATTCTTCTAGGGGGACCGGCCTCCAAATTTGCCCTTTTTTTTGACCAATTTAAATTATATGTAAAGACTATATTTATTATTTAGTTCCTCTTTTTTTTGGGCCCTAAACAACAATTTAAGTGGTCTTTCTAATGCTTAAGCAACATAACAGAAACCTATAGATCCAAATTATACAAAAGACCTGTACTTTTCAAAAAAAAAAAATCATTACTGCTTAATTTCAATAATTAGGTTTTGTATTCTCTTACTAAGAATGTGCATTGCATGAGTTTTATGCTAGTATAGTATTGTTAATATTAAAAATTAAAACAATTCTAGTTATAGTATGTAATTCTTTAACTAATTGTTGTGACACTTGTGTTTTAGACAAGTGAATTAATATCTTAGCTTAGTCAGAAGGGTGAGGTGGTGGTTGCAGGTACTACTCTCAAGTGGTTGAGATTTGTCCATTTCCAAAACGGAGTTCTTGATCCACATTTTGAGGTACAAACAACACTCTTAGAGTTCCCTCTCTCTACATGTATAGATATATTCTTATTCTATGATTCAATCGAGTTTGCGTTATTGATAAGTGTCATTGGTTTGATTAGCTTTGCATCGTTAACCACGACATATAGGTGGTGAAGGAAGCTCTACTGACAACAGTCAAAGAGGCAGTGAGAGAGAAATGGAGTGAGGAGATGAATGGTGCTTGGAGTGAAGCCTATGATCAGATGGCTGCAGCCATCAAGGCTGAGATGAAGAAAATATCTGCTCAACTTTTTCAAACCCCTCTAAATTTGGTGCAAATATATTCATAACTATGCATTATGATCGTTTGAGATGATTTTTAAAATCTTGAAAAAAATGAAAAAATCCATTTGGAGTGTCTTTCTAGTTTTTTTGTGTCAAAATAAAAATATGGATTATACATAAGAATATAATAAACTAAAAAATTATGTGGGACCTGCAAAAAAACTTTAAAAAATTGGAACAAAAAAACTCAAAAAATTAGCTTGTTGAATTAACCTAAATAAATTTTTTTGGGTCCAAAAAAATGTTGCATAAGCTAGTAAAAAAGCTAAGGTCCAATGAATGAGTGTACATATGTGTGTGAATAATGTTTTCCAAAACTAAATATATAATCTATAATACTAAATTATTTAATTAATGATGTGTCAAAGATATAATTTCAGTGAATAAGTCCAATAATTACATAATGAACCATGTCAAAAGCCACGTCATTAAGTGAATAAATTCAATCAAGCGTTTGGATCATAACATCATAAAGTTGTCCTCTTGTAATTGATGCGTGGGGTTAACGATAATTTTGCGGGATCATTTACAAAGCTGTTTTTGGTTCTCTTTTATTTGTGGACATGCATGTTGTTCCGGGTACATATATGGGCTACATTGGACATTGGGGAATTATTTATGCATTCTCTTGTTTGCTTGTGGTCTAGCTTAAATGAGTCATTTTTAAAAACTATTTATTTGATTTTTTTTTTGTAAAACAAATGTCACATTTGGCCCCAAATGTTTCATCCTATTTGGGGTTTTAGGTAGCCACTTAAGTGGCTTATGCCCCGGGCCAATCCTATCCACATTTTATTGGTGATAAGAGGTTATAACCCATTGATGTTGTATTTGAAAGAAAATTTGCCAAAAATGAATTAAAGAGAGTAACTTTTAAAGTTTAATGTGGACTAAATTTATTGACCATTGAAACATGAAAATTACCATTACACCTTCCATTATGTACATTTATATATATATATATATATATATATATATAT